GAACATCTCTTCCCCACTTTTGGAGCTCAATATCTAAATGCCAGGAAGAAAGGTTTGGGGTTTGTGTGTAATCTGTGAGTAATTTTCTTCTGAAGCTAATTATTTTTAAAGATGAAAAATTCCTCAAAAAAATTGGGAAAAGGAAGCTTTCCTCTTAATGTTGCGGCATCACTAAAGTATAGAAATTCTGGTAAAAATCCAACAGCATGACTAGTATTTTAAAATTATATCATTGAGATTGTCTCTCCATTTTCAGGCATACTCTCCAGAAAGGCATCTGTATTTCCTCACATTGAGTGATAGGAAATGCAAGTAGACTATAGTTTAAGTATGAAGATTATGGAGATTTATTGCTCTCTTTATACTTTTGTGTGTGTAATGAAATGCAGGGAAATTATACGTAGCAAATTTCTTCTGAATTTTTTAGCTACTATTCTTTTTTTTTTATCCCCTTTGAAATTTTCCTTTTAGTAGTGTCAGTTTCTAATCTGAAGTTTAAAATGTTCTGTACCAGAGGTTTATGATAATGAAGTAGCATGGATGAAACCAGTGCTTCAGCTAGATTAAGACCTTTTGTCAGGTGCCTTTTTATGCCTGGAAGAATGGTTACCTTTTGGTATCTATATGTGTTGCATAATTCTATAGCTATTCAGAAATAGCAAAATGATAGAGAAATTAATCTGATTTCACCTCATTCATACTGAGTTCCCCTCTTCCTTAGCCCCTGATTTTCAGGAGTTCATATGATAAAGTACTGTATTTGTTTTCGGCTGGTATTTGGCTGCATCAGAACTAATTAGTTTTTTTGGCAGTGTATTTCAGGGTCAGCAGCTCCTGCTTTCCACAGAGCCAGAGATGCTAAACTCATCAGCTGTATCTGCAGTCTTGGGGTTGGAGGGATGAACAGTTAGACCAGGTTCAATGTGGCAGAACTAGAAAGGGGAGTGACTGTTGAAATTCATAATGGGAACAACCTAAATAACTTCTGCCAGCCTGTGCCCACTCACTGTCTTATGGAGAAGATGAGACTGAATATCCAAGAAATGGGGAAAACATGGAACACTGGGCAGAACTGGCAGGGTTTGAGTAGTAGGGGTCTTGTGGGGCTCTCTGCTGTGAAAGAAGGGTACAAACTGCCTTGTGACAGTCCAGAAAAAAAATCCTGCAGCCCATGGGTGATCCCCCCAGGTGCAAGGACAGCCCCCAGGGACTATGGCATATGGGCAACCCATGCTGGCGTGGTAACGCTCCTGGGGGATTGCAGCCATGGGCAACTCATGCCAAGGCTCAGTCCATGCTCAAAACAGCAGATGGAAGGTTTTTATTTATTTGTTTGTTTTTTTTGTTGTTCTTTGTGTTTTGGTGTGGTTTTAATTTTTTTTTTTCTTTATTGGTAACAATTTAAATAAAATTACTTGACTCTAGACTGTTTTGCACACAGCCTGGTTCAAGTCTTGTCTTTTCTACTTGCCCATGATGGGGCACTTTGGAATGACAACTGAGACTCCATCACACATTATGAGTGGTCAGTGGAAAAATTGCAATCTGTAACATTTCAATCTTGGCATGTACTTTTACAGACAAGCATATGCACAAATTTAAATATTTCTATAAAATATATCTGAAGTTTCTGTTTCATATTTCTAATATGAACATTGCAAGAGTAAATGCTCTTTTGTGTTTCATAAGAGGCTTCATAGGGTTCTCCTACGTCACTCACTCACTTTTTCTTCAGGCCTCTTGCACTAAGACTATAATATTGGACATATTAGGGGTATAATTTTAGATTAGTATTGATGCTGAAAATCTTGGATCTTAGAAAGATTTTTCAGCTTGCTATTGTTGACTACTTAATGCATAGCTAAGAAATAGTTTCCATTTCTGTCTCATTTTTGTTGTGAAAAATATTTCTGCTGTCACTGTTTTTGCTCTAAAAGACCCACTGTTCTCAGCTTCATAATGGTTGAAGGAGATTCAGAGATTTCCTAATTGCGATAGTAAATTTAATGTATGTTACAAAAATGTTGCAATCTCTACTGTTTCAAAACAGCAACTGAATAACACTGGATATAATGAATCAGCTATTATTTGAATAGGCTAAAAAAGCAAAGTCTTCTTTTCAGTTATGAGTAATATTTACATGTCTTCCCTGGGGAAAGGGATCACAGAGTAGTTTTCACATGGGATTAGCATTCCTACAGCATGAATTTGTCTTTTCTAGTTTTTGAGAGTGGACCAAGACAAAGACAGAGAATGCAGCCTGGACTGTGCAGGTTCCCCTCAGAAATCACTCTGTGCATCTGATGGAAGAACCTTTCTGTCCCGGTGTGAATTTCAGCGAGCAAAATGCAAAGACCCACAGCTGGAAATAGCCTACCGGGGCAACTGCAAAGGTGAGTAAATCAAAGTTTTACATGACCATAATGAAAAATAATAGAATTTAAATTGGTTTTGAAAATGTCTGTGTATTAACAACCAGGACTGTTATACTTGAAGATTTGTCTAAAACCAAGTTGAAATCCATCTTGCTGCATTAAGGTAAAACAATCTTTTTCCATCAGCAAAAGTCTGACTCCTGCACCCACTTACACTATAATAAATCACTACCAAGGAAACTGCAAGGTTAGGCCCTTGTTCTGAAGGATGGTATTATTGGCAGGCTCAGAATAACTCTCAAGATTCTAATGTCCCTTTGGTTTCTTGTCTGCTGCAGTTTAGTATTTTGAATTAGATATGGTAAAAATCAGTCTTGTTTTTCCCAACTGCAATCCTTGAGAGATGGGAAAAATAATCAAATATCCAAAACCCAGTATCTGCTACTTACTGTTGTTGTTTTTTATTATTATTTTTTATTTGTTTGTTTGTTTTGTTGTTGTTGTTTTTGTTTATTTTGTTTTTTAAGTAACCCACTATTTTGTTTTACTCTCAAATAATGCAATTGTGAAATTCATCAAAGTGGTTTGTAATGCTTAAAGCTCTCACAGGCCATTCCTACCTACATAATCCATTCTTTTACTTCAGACCTCTGTTTAGAGAAACTGTGCAACATGCAACCCTAGCATTTCAGTTCCGATACTTACAAAGTATTCAGTTAAGCCTTTTCACTTTTAGAGTAGCCTAGTGTTAGTGAACACAGTTCCTTACTGAAGTGTAGGGTGATTCCCAACACAATGATCTTCTTTTTAAAATGTATGAACAGCAGTGGCCATAAAGATTTACTTTCCCTTTCTCTCAGTCCAAAAGAGACGGGTGGGGGGAAGAAAACCCCAGGGACCACACCGATTCAACCTCTAGAAGGCAATTTCCCACCTAATCTCTTTCCATTAGCTCCAGCAAACCTCTGAAGCATCAAGACTGCTTCAAAGAGACATTCTGTCTCATCTTCTGCCTGGATGAAACACTATGCTCATTCTTCAGCCCTTTCATAATAAGCCATTGTATTAGCTGATGGATCTATTTACTTTTGTGAACAAGGATAATATAATGAAGCTACCTGAGACAGAGCTTCTGTTACACTCATGAACAACAGAGAGAATTATTTTGCACTTTGTTAATTTTATACTTTACAGCATTATGCACTTCAATGGAAATTAGTATTACAGAATGTTTTTCTTTATTGTTTTTTTCCCTTTACTATATTGACAATGTCATCTGCAAGAAAATTTATCCATAAAGATGCATTGAGGTGCCCTATTGAAGGTGTCCCCAGTGATGCCATAAAATTTTTCTGCAGTCAACAGCTACTATTTGGAAAAGTGCTCATTTGCTGTTTACTTAATCAATAGTGTATAAGTACAATTGTAGACTTGGAATTCGGCACCTTAGGCAGCTTCAGTATTGCTAATAGCAAGTACCCATCATGCCCTCATCTATCAGATGGTTCTAATCTCTCAGCTAAATAAATACAAACATCACGTTCATATCTAAATAACTTTTGATTGGCAATAGACACTGTTACCAATAATATCCTTGGTCAATATAAGCAAGAGATCAGTGCTCTTTTCATTTTACGTTTTCATAGTATTATTTATTTAATCAAAGCTGTCTTAAATTTTGAAGTGACCAATATCTTTATTCTTACCCACGGCTGCAATTGTCAGAAATATTTCAAGCTGTAAAAACAAGTTCTAGAGTAGAAAAAGGTGATCCATTGTCCCAGCTGCAGATTTCAGTTTTAGCATTGCTAGAGCTACTTTCGATAGTCACATCAAACATTCTTCTGAAAGAGCTAAGGAGGTCCTCACACTAAGACCTCTTTTGAGCCAGTTACTTTTGAGTAGCGAAATTCGTTGTTGCAGGTGATACTTGACCAGGCTTGTTTTAGTAGGGCTAACCAAAAAATGCTGGTTCCATTTCAGGGCAACATTCAAGGTTTCAGAATTTTTTTTCATTCTGTGTTGGAATGATGCAACTGCCGTTATGAGTAGAATGTTGCCCAGCACTACAGTCTCCTTTAGAGCCAGTAGCTACATTTTTACATTTATGCAAAATGGGGATTTGATGGCATATTTATATTTTATAGTATAGGTTATTCCAAAAGGTTGTGCTTGTACAGAAACTGAAATGCAGAAGGCATCAGCTAAAAGTATCTTCCCCAGTGGAAATGGGAGAGCCATTGCTTGAGTGAGGATCTGCACTTTTATCTTACAAATGTAAGGCTGAATGTCTGTTACAAGTTACTGTAGATGAGTCTGAAAAAAGTTATTTTGGGTTTGTTTTTTTTCATGGACCATCTTCTACATCTTGTATGTAGAGATCTGTTTTTTCTTTTTTGTTATTGTTGTTAACTGTTCAGAATTATTCAGGAAAAAATTAGTCAACACTGTAGAATAGCATTGTAAAAGAATATTCAAATTTTCTTTTGTAATTAAAATATTGCATTATAAATAATAATAAGAATAAAAAAACCCAAAACAAACAAGAGAGAATCCTTCAACTCCTTCCTAGAGCCTCTTATCAGTTTCCTCTGTGCTAAAATCTATCAGGTTTGCTACCCTATTTACTCCCTACTACTGAACAAGTTTTTTCCCCGTGAACTTTGAAAATGTGAACTCATGTTTTTCTTGCAGCAGTTTTCAAATAATTGTAGGCTTTTCAAGTAGTTTTCCATGACAGTAAATAACATACTAACTTTTCTATCTTTTTTGGACATGACAACAACCTTTAGTCCCAGCTAGGCTTCTGAAAGATATTCCTGAAGGATTGATGACGTTTTTAGAGATCCTTTTGGACAGCTTTTCATCACCTATCTCAGCAATTTCAGGTCTCAAGTGTAGAAAGTCTGCAAGCTGATTCAAAGAGAATAACAACTGTAACAGGAGTGTCTAGTGGGATTAGCACAGGTTTTTTCTCTCTATTGGACCATGAAGCAGTGAGAAGTAGCCACCAGCAGTTCAGTTAGCAGTTTTGCTAAGGGTGTAAGGGTGAACTGTGAACAGGTGACACTGCAGTTGATCTGAGATGTGGCCAACTTGTCAGGAGCAAGCTGAAGAGCACATGCAATGCCTGTGACTGCATTTTGGAAATCTGTGACTGCTGGGAATGCTTCATCTGAAATACAAGGACTCTATCTCCCATGGAGATGTCCCTTTTAGAGTTAGCTAAGAAGAAAACTTAAGTTTTCCCTGAAAGTGGTCTGCAAGAATTGCAACGTAATGCACTCAAAAACCCACTTTTTTTCTTCTTTTTCTCTTCTTGTTTCTCAAATAACAGTGACAATACTTATTCCATTTCTCAGTTTGTATTTAAGTGATTGTACCAGGCCAATAATTGGGATATAGGAGACTAATATTCTGAATGTATAAAGTAAGTGGCTACGTAATAATATTTGGTATTCTGACGTGATCAATGGAGAAAACAAGTCAACATATACAGGCCTGCCAGTGTTCCTCTTCCATAACATAGAGTTCTGGAAACATCCCAGCTGAGGTGCCTGGATTTTCTGGCTTTTCTAGCAATACTTCACTAGAATAAGACTCTTTTAATGGCTAGAGGTTTAAAATGTCAACTGCCAACTCACATCTCATTTCTCTGCTTTACTGTCAGCATGTAGCAGTAGTCTGTGTTCACAGTGAACTGTTAATCTGGACTGGGGACACACCTGGGGAGATCCACGTTCCAAATGGCCAAGTAAAGGGTTTTACACAGAGCGATATTTAAGCCGTGGGAGGCTTGACGTTCAGTCTGGCTGGCACTCAGCATTTGTATTCAGTATTTGCAATGGTGGCCCCAACAGGGCCTTGCTGCTTCGTGAGCACACCAAGGAAAGCCATCACACACAGTAGTGTCATTGTTATTCTACAACTATATAGATTCCCTTTCTCCATTGGAAATTCTAGATAGCTCATGTTTAGCTTAATTAATTTATGGTATCTTAAAGAGCTTAGCTGTTTAAAATGCCTTTCTTTAATGGGCTATCATAGACATAACAAAAAGGTACTATCTTCATTCTCACAATTCACATAAAGAATTGAATCACATAAAAATATGAGTGGAATTTCCCACAAAGAGGTATTTTACTATTTCCTGTTTACTTTCCTTAAAGAGATAAACATTCAGCATTTTTTTTTCATTAAAATGGCGTTTTCAGTGAGAAGTTTTAACTTATTTGAATTATTACTATAAATTATAATGAATGAGTTAAGGACATGCTTTAATGATTTGAAATTATATTAATTAACAAACCTTTCCATCCTTGGATAAACATGCTGATACGATTTTCCCCTTATGAAGAAAAAGGGGGACGTTGCTGGGCAGTAGGTTTTTTGGCTCACAAATTAGTCTTGGACCCATAATACATCAATCTAAGCATCCTTTGGGGAAACACCTGTTTAAGTGAGTCCAGAGGAGGGCCACAAAGATGATCAGAGGGCTGAAGCACCTCTCTTATGGAGACAGGCTGAGAGAGTTGGGGTTGTTCAGCCTGGAGAAGAGAAGTCTCCAGGGAGACCTTATAGTGGCCTCCCTGAAGGGGGCCCCCAGGAAAGCTGGGGAGGGGCTTTTTGCAAGGGAGACAAGGGGAAATGGTTTTAAGCTGAAAGAGGGTAGATTTAGGTTATATATTAGGAAGAAATTATTTCCTGTGAGGGTGATGAGACATTACAACAGGTTGCCCAGGGAAGTTGTGGATGCCCCCTCCCTGGAAGTGTTCAAGGCCAGATTGGATGGGGCTTGGAGCAGCCTGGTCCAGTAGGAGGTGTCCCTGTCTCTGCAGGGAGGTGGGAACAAGATGATATTGAAGGTCCCTTCCAACTGAAACCACACTATGATGCTATGATTACTCTTGCCTCTTAGCTGAAGAACTGATTTGTAAATGCTGGACATGGTTTTTGAGCAGACACCTTATCCTGTATTCCTACAGAGGCTACCCTCAGTCTCAGGTTTGCATGCAAGC